GCGAAGTACTGTCATCTCAGCATTTTTCACAGTTTATTTGCGGAATACAACTAGAACCGTACCTCTTCAGTTCAGTTTTCAAATATAACGGGTTTTCAATAGGTACGCTACCAACGTAGACCAATAGGGACAGCAAATTACGCCATGTTTTTCCCGCTCTTATAACATTTATCTTCAGTAAGGTTTGCCATTTCATCATATACGATCCAACACGGGTCGAAATTATTAAAATTTATTTTTTTCATACAGAAGTGGTGTAGCCTCTCCCAGAGAGATGAGTCCGTTAGCAGACAGGCGATACTAGCGTCTAGTTAGTTTAGTATTAGTAAAACTCAATAGATGCACATTCCATTTATTCATTTTTGAGCGACGTTCAAGCCTCTGCACCTATTATCTAATCAGCTAAAACGATGGAGACAGACATTTTTTCGTTGCGCTAAAAGACGTCTACAGTTGCATGAGGTTGCCGGTTTTTTCTTTTAAGCTTTTATTTCTTTACTTTTTACTATAATATATAATGAGCTAATAATATTTATAGTTTGCGCATTTAAACAAAAAAATTTAAACGGTCACCACTACAAGTTTTTTATACTGTTTCCTGGTTCTTTAAAAAAGATTATAACATTTTTTAGGGTTTTATGATATTCTTATTAGCAATCGATAAATAACATATTTTAAAGCCTACAATTGAACTACTTATGTTATTGATTGATTATTAGAAATATATAATTCTGTATTTTGTTACTCACTTTTTGACGCTTCACTAACAATTTACTGGCAATTTCATTATTTAAAAAGAGTTTATACATAAAACTTACTTACTTTACTCACAAAATTTACTTATGGACTATCTTCATTTAACAGAGATGAAAAGCAGCCTTTGCAGTCACCAACTGGTAGCATGAAGCAAAACTCCACCGTCGAATTCGATGGACAATTCGTGCATTCGCGCAGCGGCGAAATACTCGGCAAAAACTCAGCTGTGTGAATGAAACTGGAAGTGTTCTAAGGACCAAATGAAATCACCTAAAACGGACAAATTTGCTGGAAATTTTGATTTAAGATTGAAATCGAGCATTAACATTTATAAAACACACTAGACAAATGTGTTAAACAATAAAAATGTTAAATGTTAATGCATAGTGGCGCTGTAACACTGGTGGCGAACAAAATAATAACTATTACTTGAATGGATACGAACAAATATGACAAACAAAAATGCATAAACTACACACACCGCGCTGAAATCATAATTACAGAACAATTGTAAACAATATTATTAAATTAAAAATATGCATCATTTTATAAAAAGAGAAAACATTACAGCTTATATATGTTTCCGCTAAATACAATTACAACAAATAGGCATTTATTTGTTAAACAACTGAAGCTTAAAAGCATACGTATTATACAGTAAATTACATGCAAAATAGTAAAAATCTATTCCAAGTGCAAAAAGCAACAAAAATTCCACAAAACATTATTTCCTTAAAAATAGTATTTTTTTTTATTTTTTTTAAGATATTTTAAGCTAATTTCTAAACACTTTAGGAAATACATATAAGCCCAAAAGCTCTAATATATTCATAATATTTTAAGTGTCTGCTTTACTTGACCTGCGTAACAGTTAAATCCATTCATTTCTGCCTTAAAAATAATATAAAAAAATCCTTTAGCATTAATATATGTTCTGTAATTGGAATGTAACAACAAATATTGATAATTAATAGTAGTTAAGAATAATTTGCTGTTATTAAGTGCTTATGTATGCAAAAACAAAGTGTGAGCGGCACTCATATTTAAACTAAGATTTAGTATATGTTAAACATTAACAATTACTTTATTTTTAATTAAGAAATTTTTTTTAATGTAGACATTTTAATTTTATACTTTCTGAAAGCATTCAGTTCTTAAAACAATGTACTTAAAAAAATATTGTAAGACTATTAAAAGCTGTGTGAAGCGTAAACTCGGGGTTTAAACCTGCATGCTCTTTGAGAAATGTAAATTAATTCCGGCATTATAAAACTAAAAATTTATTTTGAGCAAAAAGTTGTAAAATAAAGAAAAGAGTGCATACAATTTCTTTTAGAAATTAAAATAATTATTTTTATGTTTTATTTCTTCGTTCTATACTTAAATTTATTAAAAATTTATTTTGAGAAAAAATTGTAAAATAAATATAATTAATTCAAACAATTTCTTTTGCTAAATAAAAATAATTAAATTGCTTAATGATTTTTCCTACTCGTAACAAAAAAATATAATAATTACAAAAACAAAATGTTCAGCAATTCATATGAAAATCTACTTCGAGTTATTATTTAGTTTATTAAAAAATTACTTTATTAATTTTAAAGTAATAATTAAGCTATGTATTATATAAAAAACGCTTGGTTTGGCAGCACATCTTAATTCAAAAATTACATTCACAAAATTTATTATTATCATGTCAAATTAAAACTGTGTTAATAATTAAACGAAATTCATTAAGCAAGTTTACTATTTATCACTTCATAACAACCATTATCATATTTTACTGATTTTATTTTATTTTAATCCACAATACTTTTAATAATTGAATAAATTGCTTCCTAAAACATTAACATTATTTTTTACACACTTTTAACGAGGGCACATGATTCCATATTTTATTAAATAACTCAATTAGTCATTAAAAAAAAGTATGCGTCATTAGTTATAACAACGTATAGATAACAATTGTATGTCAAATGTGGCTTATGTGTATAGAAAAGAGAGAAATTATATATATAYAATATAAGAACGGAACATTAAACAAAGATTCATTGCTCAGAAATTTTCGCCAAAGATATGAAAATGTGAATTTGAAAATGCTAAAATATCAAAGTGTGTACGTAGCTTAAACACGTTAAGAAATGTGCTCAAGCATTAACAAATACAAAATTTTTTCGTGTTACAAATTAAAAATAACTAATGAAGAAATTTAAATTAGCATGACAGCTGATAAGAAAATATTTTGTGTAGAAATTAAAGAAAACACCATGGTTTGGATATAACTTCAATAAACAACCAACTTAGATAAATTACAATAAAGAGCATTATTGACAAATACTTCAATTAGTTAAGCATTTTCTCAATATATATTCTTGCATCAGCACATAAAACATATTTCAATAAGAGAAAATAATATTTGTTTACAATCATAAAAACTTAACTTGTAAATTAATTAATAATTTAGTATGAAAACGTATAATTGTATTTGTATAGTATTAATGGCTCAGTTTAAATCAAAAAGCGTATTAATAAAAATGAGTTTACAACAAAACTAAATGTATTTAGTAGTTTTAAGGCTTTTTTCTATTACATTATACAATGGGAATAAATAAATATAAGTATGTAATGCAAGTGGAAACATAAAAACCAATAAAAGCGTATGCGTTTATTACAAAATAATATGTTTTGAAATTTCTTTTAATTGCATTTAATTATTTAATACTAATTTGCACCTTACCCTATACTCAAGCGCCTTTTACAGAGCTTTTTACAAAAAATAAAAATAAAAGAAAATAATTAAGCCCGACTAGAAATTAATAAAAAAAACATATTTATATTTAAATTAATATAATGAAAAATACATACATAAATATTTACCGAGAAAATTTTCATTTCCACATTAAACAAAAGAGTTTAAGAAAATGTCATATTTACTTACGTATATGTATATGTACGTTTTTCCAAGTTGAATTTGTACAAAAGCGTATTTTGAATATTGAAATTAAAAAAAAAAATGTTTTTGCTAAAAACATGAGTTGTAGAAATACGATTTATTTATAGATACATACTATATATGTATATGGCTGATTACCTTAAATCAAATACAAAGCATTTTCCGCAACTGCCAAATTCAAACAAAAAATTAAATTCAAAATGTTCTTATATAACATTTATCTGTAATAGAGAAATTATTGTTGTTGTATGTAATCTTTTATACTAATCATAAAATATTTACATACATACATGCATCATAATGATTAGATCATTAATTCGAATTGAAAAAAGCGGTACGATATAAATGAAACACTCAAATTAAAAACAGAAGCACGTATTTTCATTTCAAAAAATTGTGAAGGTATGTATTTTTTTACTCTTGCCAAGTAAAATGGAAATTGGCTTAATAAAAGTCAAAGATAAGAAGAGTAAAGTTGCTGGTAGATAATACATTTTAACTTAACTACATATTGTAGCCTAATAACTTTCCGATGTTTTTAAACTGCATCTCCATATATTGAAAATTTCAATTGTGCTATCATTATTTGACCAAACCAGTTGAGTTATTAAGCTATCAAAGAACTTAAGATGCAATCTGATGTAAGTGCCTTTTGAACTTCCGTAACTCGAAGTTCTCCATAACTCGAACTCATGAACCGGCAATAGCAGTCAAATTCCATAACGATTTCGTGTTTTAGTGCTTATGAAAATTCGAGTTAGGGAAATGCAACTGTACATACATTCAACAAAAGTCTATAATTCCAGTCTTATCTCATTTCTTAACAACTGACAATAACAAATCAAACACTAGTGTTCACAATTTAAAAAGTAACTGAATTTGAGAAGTGCTTCCTTTTGTTTGACAATTCGCAGCAATATTGCTTTACATTTATGCTTTAATTCACATAGGAAAATTTACAATACGTGTACATTCAGAAATTTACTACAAAATAATGTACAAATTTGGATTAGAAGCAAGAATGACAGAAGAATTGTGTTCTTGGCTGGTTATCGGAACCTACCCATGTCCGGTTATAGGAATTGTTTTTGTAAGAAAATAATAATGAAAACGTTGTGTTTATGAAATCTGTGCAGTTATGGGATTTCCTTCAATAAAAAGTTCCTCAAAATAACAAATTATTAACAATAAGGAATAGCGTTTCAACAGAATATTAATTAATTCACAATAAATAGAAATACGAGTAAACAAATATACAATTGTGAATGTCATACACATGACAGCCCAGTCCTACGTTTGCTTGGTCTCCTAAAATAAACAAAGTGTTCCCAATTAGAATGTAGTGCACTGCAAGATTTAATAGGAAAAAAATTATCATAAATTGCTTATTTTTATGCACGGTGTTTTCCATATATCATATATCGAAAAATATATACTTTTGCAGCAATAAAAATATAGTTGTGCATTGTTTTAAATTGTTTCGCCATGTCTGAAATGCGAATCCGTCCACGACAGGTGCTCATACTTATTATTGTGTTCCTAGTGATATTGCTTTTAGTGCATCGGAATGGGAAGCGTACTTGCCAGGGTCCCGAATTTTTGCAGGCTATTTATGCTAAGCAAACGGAGAACGCTTTACCAAAAATTTATGCAATAACACCAACATACAGCCGCCCATCGCAAAAAGCCGAACTAACAAGGTAAATATGTACTTTACTAATTAATCACAAATATTGGCCTACAATATCATACCTTTCTTGTTTTGTCTATGCAGATTGTCACATATATTCATGCTTATGCCTAATTTACATTGGATTTTAATTGAAGATTCCAATACAACGACGAAAGTAGTGCGCAACCTGTTAAAGCGAGCGGGTTTAACGGAACGTTCAACCCAACTCAACATTAAAACACCAGTTAATTATAAATTGAAAAATAAAGATCCGAACTGGCTGAAGCCACGTGGAGTGGAACAACGAAATTTAGCCCTCAGCTGGATACGTACAAATGTAGATCCAGCGGAACATAGTGTGATATTTTTTATGGACGATGACAACTCTTACAGTGTTGAGCTGTTTGTGGAAATGACTAAAATCGAACCCGGACGCGTTGGCATATGGCCAGTGGGTTTAGTAGGTGGACTTATGGTGGAAAAACCTATTCTTAATGCCGAAAATACTCAAGTAATTGGTTTTAATGCAGCGTGGCGACCAGAGAGACCATTTCCTGTAGATATGGCTGCGTTCGCAATTAGTACTGATTTGTTATTTAAATATCCACAAGCGCAATTTGCTTACGAGGTGGAGCGAGGTTACCAAGAAAGTGAAATATTAAGACACATAACAACGAGAGAACAACTACAACCTTTGGCGAATAATTGCCGCGATGTACTAGTGTGGCATACCCGTACTGAAAAAACGAATCTCGTATCTGAAATAAAACTGAATAAAGATGGGAAATATTCTGATGTTGGCATGGAGATCTAACATTAATAAAATAGTATTTAAAAGTTAAAAGAATTTGCGTCATGATTTAAATGCTCGCAATTTTTTATATTTGATATCCGGTATATTTACACATTTATAAAAAGTATTTGATTGACCTTCACGCCTTACTTTACGAGAAATGCATATCCTCCACAAGTGATTAAAAAGATCGTATGTCGTAGTACTTCCAAAATATTTATGATATACATTTATTTTGCCCATAAACAAATTTAGTTATTTATGAACTAAATATTACATGCATCTTTAAAATAGTTTATTATCTTAAGTAGTGATATTATTAATTGAAAGTATGTGTGTGCAAAATTTATGTAAATAATTTTGCTAACAGACTTAAAAATTTGTTGATTTTTTATATAATAAAAAGTATGCAATTGATATAATACGTAGAGTTGCTTATCAGATCAGTTAGATAAGAAATATTCAGACAGCTTGTTATTTTTAATGAAAGCTAAACAAACATCAAAAGGTTATTTATACCGTCAACCAATTAAATTATATGTCAATATGTTTTTTTTTTTTTTGTTTTTTGGAAATTTAATGCATTAATAATAAAATGTTCCACATTATTTTGTGAATGTAAAGGATTTTTTTTTTCAAAGCTTTAGTTGTAATTCTTAGTTTTGGTTAGAACATCCAGAATCAACACAATTTAACTTACATAAAAATACCAATAACCACCGAAAAATTCATTATATAAAACAAATATGATAATATAAAATTACCTAAAAATATTTGTATGATATAGAAATAAGAAAATACATGAAATAAGAATTTAATTTATATACGTATAAAAAACACTTATAAGCATAGAAATATTAATGACATGTGTAATTAAATAAACGAAATATATTATGTAAATAAACGATCTTTTTTGGTTAACAGTTATATATTTTTAACTTGAAGTTTATTTAAGTTTTTTGTTATGTATGAAAATAGAAAGTAATTTTTATTAAATTTGGTTTTATTTCTAATGTCTACTAGTGTATACTTTGGGCACTCTGCATAGCTCGGTGAATTGTTCGATCAAGTAAATAAATTTCAAAAAATGCTACCGAGGTGACAGTACTTGGCGGGATAAAAATCCGGTTTCGTTTCGGCTACGTACACCCAACTGTCTTGGCAACGGTATCGAGATCGTTCTTTGCCGTCTAAATTAACGTCGACGACCGACATACCCTACATAGGTCCTACGTATTGAGTACAGACGATACTAGACATGTTTTCGTTGTTTTTTGCGGGTACCTAATCCCCGTTAGGATACAAGGATTAGCGTAGTCGGCGAAGTCATCTAACGGAAGGCCCAAGAATCGTGCTGTTTCGACGGAGTCGGACCAAAATGAAAGCTGTGTCAGATGAATGGAGTTGGTGGAGCATACTAAGAGGTGACCAGTAATGCGGAGACTCATTGCACGCAGGACATATATTGAATTTTTCGGTGTCTTATATGGACAGGTAGGAGCTTAACTTGCTAGAGTATGCAGAACGAATCTGCGCAAGGCTCACTCTCGGCGTATGTTCCTCTAATGTTGAGGAATGAACTCTTCATGTTTCTGGAAGGGGGTTCCGCTACAAACAGGTGACTGCAGGGATGATTTCTGCCTGGAATGGAGTTCATTATACTTCTTAACCAGGAGCCTGGGGGCCGTACTATGCAGGTCTTCAATAGGAGACATCCCGTCGAAGTACGGTGTGCAGTATTCTGATAGGTCCAAAGCTCCTCGGCTACGTTCCTCTGCATATAGGAGACTATATTGGTGCGGCATAGTTGAAAACCGGCCGGCCGACTTCCTTGTAAGTTGCAAACAACGGTTCTTTGCCTTTTTCACATGTACTGCCGGCTAGCGACTTGAGGATTTTGTTGCGGCTCGGTACTTTGGCGACAGTGGCGGTCGTATTAGGAATGAAGGAGCGTAGACCATCAAAAGTTACACTTAAAATTTAGGATTATTGTCAGTCGGAATCTTGCCCCTTCGACTACAATACAAGTCAAGTCTGTACTCCTTCGTCCATATTGTTGTTGTTGTTGTCATTTTTGTAGCAGMAGAAGAGCCGACTGTCGTCGATCTTGTACATATAAACGCTTTGTATTTAGTTGAGAAGAGGGTTAAGTTAAGTGCAGAGAATACGCGAGAAAGGTCGGAGAAATAACCGTTTACCATTGAAAACATACTATCGATTGCATTGCCCGACGTCAATATCGTGCAATCTTCACCGTGCGAGGTTATAAAAACTCCCTTTGGTGGCTGCGAGAGTTTCGAGATATAGAACTTAAACAATATCGGGGATAGGACACCCCCCCCTTTGTATCCCCTTGCTTAATTCCTCTCAGTTTTGAATATTTTCCTCGAAATATTACGGATGATTGAGGACCGCTCAGGTAGTATATAGTACACTTCTTCAGTACTGGAGGAAGAATAGTTTTTTCATTGTACTAGGTGCTTTTGACAAGTCCAACCCTACGACGATCGTTCTCTCACAAGATGGTTTCTGGCTAAGCCACGAACTATCTTTGCGTTTATGACGCTAAGTGCTGGTGGTACTATGAACTTTTCGCAAGCCATGATTTGCTAGGCTCAGATGGTGTGTAAAAGTCGAGAGTAGTAAGGCCTCAAGTGTCTTCACTAATGGGGAAAGTAGAGTTTTCGGACGATTGGACTTCTTTTTGTTGACTGGTTTTCAAGTTTCAGATAATAGTCATCTTTATGCACACCCCATGAAACCAATTCACTTAACCCGACCGGTCCGAATGCGTCGAAACAGCTCGACAATCGAGTTTTATCAACTTGGGATCAGTTAAAATTAGCATAGTAAGAAAATGTATATTTACGTTATTACAATATATTGAATGGATTTGAAAGAAGAAGAAGACATACATTTCAATTCAATTCATGACAACAAAGTGTAAATAAAACATATGTAAATTAAAAAATTCTTATCGGCTACTAAAATGATTTGCCGACTGTGTTTAATTGAGTCAAATGAAATATTAAAAATTTATAACGAAACCGGAGAAATGATAGATAATGACATATTAAAAGTAGTGGCTAAACATTTCCAAATTGAGGTACGATTTTTTTGATATTCTGTTAAGATTTCAACTCSRTACTGMTCCACTCAATTTTAGATTCGATACAATGATGCAGTATCTAATATAATATGTTTGGTATGTTGGGATTATCTATCGAAGTTCCATAAATATTGGTTGAGCATTGAAGAGAAGCAGAAAATATTGAATAACCAATTGCATTTTACGGAAATAAAACGTGATATCGAAGATGTAGAGATAGAAGGTTTCGCTTATGAAGAAAAGAATTCAACTAATGAAAAAATAGAGACTGGTTTGTGTGAACCTGAAATAGATTTGTTAATTCGAAATGCAGACACATTTGGAGTTGAAACCGAATTTGTTGCTGCAAAAACTGAAGAAGAAGGTGAGGCGTCTGTTGATTGTGATGTTTTTGCCACCACAACAAATTCCCTTGGTAAGAACATAAAATATAATCGTATTTGTAAGAAGTTTCCTTTACTCCTTTAAATGTATCTTCTGCATGCTTTCCTATTTAGTCATTCTTTCAAGAGAAAATGAAATTGAATCTGAGGATATCGCACCAAATAGTCAACAAAAACGCAAATACACTAAAAGGAATAAAAAGCTGGAGAATACAATTTTAGAAAAAGGAAAGAGAAAAAGGGGTCGACCTAGGTTAACAAATAAAAATTCAAAAGCGAGTTCAAGTCCCACCAAAGAAAAAAAAATTGAAAGTTCCCAAAGCTATGAAGAAAAATTGAAAGCTATCCAGGAAGCCGATAAGTTTTTAGCAGAAAACACACAGTTGAACTGTTGTATTTGTACGGAACAATTGAACGATTTTAAAGAACTTAAAACTCATTTTCGACAAAAACACCAATGCACCGGATATGTGATTTGTTGTAATCTACGTTTTAATAAACGGACTTTATATGTGGACCATATTCAGTTGCATAAGAATCCAGACTTCTTCAAGTATTTTTTGCTCTTAAATTCAATATATAACTTTGATTTATTCGGTTTCATTTTTAAATACTTTCGCAGATGCTGCATTTGTAATAAACAGCTAATAAGCCGCAAAAATTACGCAAATCATATGCACTCATTGCACCCGGCTGAAGAAAATCTGCAATTTGCATGTAAACTTTGTCCGAAAAAATTTTCTAAGCAATATATTCTAGATAGCCACATAAAAATGCGTCACATGCCCAAGGACCATATTTGTAATCTCTGCGACAAGGCGTATGTAATGAGTTTTATTAAGAATGTTGTTGTATTTCATTATTTATACAATTTCAGATTTGCAAGTATCTGGATTTTGAAGCAACACGAAAAAGCTGTTCATCGCAATGAATTTGAATCAGTTTGTGAAATATGTGGAAAGCGTTTGAGGAATGCCGCAAACTTACAATATCATATGGACAACATACACAATACCGAACCACGTCCGGAAGTTCAATGTACGCTTTGTCATAAATGGCTAAAAAGTGACCGTAGTTTGCGGAAGCATATGATTTCACATCGTGATGAAGCATCAGGTACAGTGTTTAAATGTCCTCAATGTGATGTTGAGAAAAAATCGAGGCATTCACTTGCATCACATATCCGGTATCATCACTCCAACCGAATTTTCTCCTGCACAATGTGTACCAAAGAATTTAAAACTCCAATCGCACTGAAGGTTATAAAATTAAATAGTTAATCATTAAATATAATCGAATGCTATTTTATAGGAACATGAAGCCACACATACTGGTGTCGATTTGTATACCTGCCCCTTCTGCCCTAAGACGTTCAGATCCCACGCCAATATGCATAAACATAAATTGCATAGTCACTCAGATGAATGGGTTCGCAAATATGCGCAACCCAATGAATTCACCCAAAGTCTTTTAAACCAAACGCGTAACACCGAGACATAACTGAACTTATTTGAATTGGCTAAGATTTAAAAACTTTTGTTGTTCACTTTGTTAAAATTAAGATTAATGACTCTTAAACATAATTAGTGTATACTTATAATTGATTTCTTTCCTAATGATGAGCTTTGTAATAATAAATAACCAATTAACAAATTGAATATAAAACCATTATAATTATAGTCTCAAATGAGGCAAAATCTCTCAAGTGTACTCGCTATTTTCGAAAAATGTCGTGAATTATTGTTATTGATATATTGGTTGTTGTTGTTGTAACGACAGAACTGACAACTCTGCCGAGTTGACAGTCCTTGGCCGGATAAAAATCCGGGTACGTTCCGGTTTCGTAGACCCGACTGTCGTGAGAACGATTGATATATTGGTAGTCGATGTCGCTGCATCCGTATATCTCCAGAGCTACCAACTACATTGTGTCACACCATATAGTGAAAGGTGAGATTTTAACAGAAAAAAAAAAATTCAGGGAAGCTGAAAAAAGTTACAGCTGTTACAAAAATGAGTGAAAATAATGAAAAAATTCGCTATTTGTTTTGTATAAAAAAGGGAATAAGGCCACGATTTGTCGTTTGCGAAATTTACGAAGACGATGCTGTATCAGTTCGTGTAGCACAACAATAGTTCGCTCACTTCCGTTCTGGAAATTTCAAAATTTCGCTTTACACTGATGGAATAATGGCAAGTGGTCGACCAAAATGGTACATATTTGTACATAAGTTGAAGTTCGATTAGAAATACGAAAGACGTTTCAACTACCCAATATTTTTGTACGATCGTGTAAAATATTTATTTTCTCTTAACAAACCGAATCGACTTTCTCATATATAGTACAATTATAAGTGAATGTGTCCTCTATCATTTGATATTTTAAACAAAAAAAATCAGTGTACCAAAAAACAATCTCTTCAACAAATTCAATTGAAGGCAATTTTTCAATAGGATGAAATTACTTCTTATTTATTGAAAAACCATAAGCTAAAAGAAAAACATGAAAACTTTCATATTATCAAAAATTACCCGCTTTTTTCCTTTGACGCTGCAGAAGATGATTCAGTTGGTTCACCGGGCATGTGATGCAACCGAATGTCTCGATTTTTGATAACTACACTCGATGCTTCAGCACGATGTGAAATCATATGTTTCCGCAAACTGCGATTACTTTTTAGCCATTTATGACAGAGCGTACATTCAACTTCCGGACGTGGTTCGGTATTGTGTATGTTGTCCATATGATATTGTAAGTTTGCGGCATTCCTCAAACGCTTTCCACATATTTCACAAACTGATTCAAATTCATTGCGATGAACAGCTTTTTCGTGCTGTTCCAAAATCCAGATACGTGAAAATCTGAAATTTTGTAAATAATGAAATCGAATGAATTACAGTGACAACATTTTTAATAAAAGTAGTTACGTACGCCTTATCACAGATATTACAAATATGGTCCTTGGGCATGTGTCGCGTTTTTATGTGGGTATCTAGTATGTACTTCTTAGAAAACTTTTTTGGACAAAGTTTACAAGCAAATTGCAGATTTTCTTCAGCCGGGTGCAATGAGTGCATATGATGTGCGTAATTTTTGCGGCTTATTAGTTGTTTATTGCAAATGCAGCATCTGCGAATATGTTAAAAAACAAAACCAAATAAATCAAACTTTTACTTTTAAGAGCAAAAAATACTTGAAAAAGTCTGGATTCTTATGCAATTGAATATGATCTGCATATAAAGAACGTTTATTAAAACGGAGATTACAACAAATCATATATCCGGCGCATTGGTGTTTTTGTCGAAAATGAGTTTTAAGTTCCTTAAAATCTTTCAGTTGTTCCGTACAAATACAACAGTTCAACTGTGTGTTTTCTGCTAAAAACTTATCAGCTTCCCGAATAGCTTTGTTTTGGGGACTTTCGATTTTTATTTCTTTGGTGGCACTTGAACTCGCCTTTGAAGTCGTCTTGTTTCTTTTAGTGTATTTGCGCTTCTGTTGACTATTGGATGCAATATCCTCAATTTCATTTTCTCTTGAAAGAATATCTAAAACAGGGAAGTATGTCAGAAGGAGAAAGTATATCAGATTACTACATTTGAATGAATAAAGGAAACTTATTTTGAATATCAACATGGTCTATGTACCAAGAGAATCTGTAGTGGGGCCAAAAACATCACAATCAACAGTCGCCTCATTTTCTTCTTCAGTTTTTGCAGCAATAAATTCAGTTTCAACTCCAAATGTATCTGTATTTTCAAAAAACATAACCATTTCAGGTTCACACAAACCAGTCTCTAGTTTTTCATTAGTTGAATTCCTTTCTTCACAAGCGAAACCCTCGGTCTCTACATCTTCGATATCACGTTTTATTTCCGTAAAATGCAATTGGTTATTCAATGTTTTCTGCTTCTCTTCAATGCTCAACCAATATTTATGGAACTTCGATAGATAATCCCAACATACCAAACATATTATATTAGATACTGCATCATTGTATCGAATCTAAAATTGAGTGGAKCAGTAYSGAGTTGAAATCTTAACAGAATATCAAAAAAATCGTACCTCAATTTGGAAATGTTTAGCCACTACTTTTAATATGTCATTGTCTATCATTTCTCCGGTTTCGTTATAAATTTTTAATATTTCATTTGACTCAATTAAACACAGTCGGCAAATCATTTTATTAGCCGATAAGAATTTTTTATTTTACATATGTTTTATTTACACTTTGTTATCTGACATTTAATTTAGATTGTAATGTGCTGAACACATAAGGACGACAGATAGCAAGCGACATCTATCAAATATTAAAAAAATACACGCGTTCTTATGGACACAGCTATTTAGACAGCTCCATGACTACACGACTGCAGGCTATTTTATAAATTTCCCGACGACAGTAGAGGTGTGGTGTCGCTAATATGTAAAATTATTCAAAGCTCTAACAAACCTGACGTTATTTTACAAATAAAAGTATAAAATAGGTCTGTTATATCATTTATTATAACAATTAGTAATTTAAAACAAAAATATGTACCTATTTATTTATTTTTTGCATAAAAGATTTCATATGGAACAAAATATTTCATAGTTTCATTCAAGTGGAAGGTATTAGTATGGCAACAACGGAATTGTGTACATATAAACTGGACAACTGTGTAGTTTTGTGTACATGCCGGTCATTGTTATGTCGGTACCTTTATACAAATGTTCATGTAGTAGGATTCGCCACGCCATTTAATGTTCATTGTCGTGTTGGCATGTCGTATCGGATTTTATGTGTTCATAGCGTAAGCTTCTTCTTCTTTAAAATCCATTCAATAYGTAGTAGTAGTGTAAACTCACCTATTCTGTCAATTCAACTATACTTATAAATAAAAACTAGAATTTATTCAAAGCGTATGCGCCAATAATTAATTAAAACGTTGTTAAAATAATTCATAGAAATCTTAATAATTTATTGACTCTTCAAATTTGTTCTCCATCAGGTGGTAAAATATTTAACAAGCTTTTGGTAATCTCGCTTGGTTGCGACCGTTTACGAACCCACTCATTTGAATGATTATTGACCTTATGTTTGTGCATATTTCCATGAGACCTAAACATCTTTGGACAAAAGGAACAGGTATACAAATGGGTTCCAGTATGTGTAGTTTCATGTTCCTAAAAATGGAGAAAGCGATATTTAACATACATGTATAAATTTTTTTGTTTTCGATCTGAATATACATATACATTACCCTCAATGCGCGGGGATTTTTAAATTCTTTATTGCACATTGTGCATGTAAAAACTTTATCCGAGTGATGATATCGGATATGAGCAGAAAGCGCATGACGTGTATTTTTTTCCATACCACACTGAGGACACTTGAACTCTTGTCCGGACGCTTGGTCTCGATGTATGATCATGTGTTTTTTTACACAGCGTGCATTTTTCAACCACTTAAGACAGATTTTACATTGTTCTTCCGGTCGAGGTTCTGTATTATGAATGGCCTCCATGTGAGACAAAAGATTTTGGGCAGTTTTAAGACACTTGCCGCAAACTTCACAAACAGAGTCGTATTCATTTAAATGTACTGCTTTTTCATGCTGTTTTAGAACTGCAGAACTTACGAATCTTAAAAAAAAGAATATCAAGATTTGATCGTAAAATCAGAAACAAATTTATCACCCCTTATTGCAGGTTTTGCAAATATAATTTCGCTCTGTAGTATGGCTAGACTTTATGTGATAGTCTAAAATGTACTGCTTAGCAAACTTTCTGGGACATAATTTACAGGGATACAGTAAACTGTCTGCGTCTGGATGTATACTGTCCATATGATTTTGGTAGTTATTTCTGCTTGCTAATTGCTTATTACAGAGTGTACATCTATGTAATTTTTTTTTTCAATAATATAATACATAAAGTTTATTAACGTCGTTAAAATTTTATTTGAATGAAGTATGCAAAACTTACTTGAAAAAATCTGGGTCTTTATGAAGTTTTAGATGGTCCACATATAAAGTCCGTTTTCTATACCGATTATTACAACAAGGTATATAGCCTACACACTGATGTTCTTGTCGAAAATGTTTCTTTAAATCTGTGAAATCTTTAAGTGATGCAGCACATAAGCAACAAGATAATTGTGTGTTCTCTGCTATGAACTCGTCTAATTCCCGTATCAAAGTTTTTGTATTATGTTTTTTAACGACTTTGTCTTCTAGTTTTAAATTATCCTTTTCAATATTAACTTCACGTTTTATTTTCCCCTTTCTTTTCTTTGAACAACGAGTTTTATCAATACTTTCTTTATCTATTTTTTTCTGTTTGGTGCCTCTTTTCGAATATTTCCGCTTTTTAGTAGATCTTAATTCCATTACATTTTCTTCTGAAACTAACGGGTAAGTTTAATGATCGTGAAAAAAATTTTTTATAATCATAGTTACCTTCATCTGTATATGATTGTGTAGGAGAAGGCAATGAGTCTCGATGGCTTGATAGAACATCATCCTTCATTTCAACAGCATTAAATTCCAATCCATCTGTAGATATTATCGGATGTACTACCAAGTCTATCTCTGGTTCTCGTAATTCATTATTTTTTGTGTCAATAGGAGATTTTACATCGGCACTGGTGAGTTCCAGTTGAAAATCATCCACATCTTGTTTTATTTGCGCGCACACTATATGTGTTTGCAATGTTTTCTGTTTTTCATCTATTTTTAACCAAAATCTGTGGAAAACCGATGTACATTCCCAACACTCTGCACAAATCTTATTGGAAATAATATCACTTGGTTGTACCTGTTATTGATTGGATATTTTAATGGGCCGAAAGCATATTCATATTTAAGCCTTACCTCAAAATGAAAGTATTTAGCAATAATTTTTGCAACTTCAGTTTCTGCATTGTCGGAGAATATATCAAAACTATCATGTGAGTCTTCCAAACAGAGACGACAAACCATTTTTGTCGAATCAAAATACTGCTAAGTTCAATTTAGATCCGTCTTCTTATTATTTATATTCTTCCTCTTCTTTGAAAACCCAATTTAATTCACGGTAGTATTTCATATTTCATCGTTGCCAAACTATCAAAACAAATCGTATTAGGTATTTTGATACTACTTCAATCATTTGGTAACTAATTCAAAACGGAGGAGTCCAATAACGGTAACGCAACAATCGCTAAATAATGAATATTAGGTGCAGTTTAATGAGTAACAATAGGCTTATTTCTAATTTAAATTCTTAATCATAAATTTATAATACTGTATCTTTAAGACTGTGCTTCATTAAATGGCAATAAAGTCAGATACCCAGAAGGCATATCATTCGCTGAAGTAGAGTGTTGTGGCAACTTTTCTTCCGATTTTTGTTGTACATTCTCATTACATTTTGCATGTACTGATTCATCCGAATGATTAGCCACATGTTTGCGCATATTACGGATCGACCTAAACTTCTTTGCACAAATTGAACATGTGTAGAGGTGTATTCCAGCATGCCTTGCCTCATGTTCCTAAAATTAATCGTATTAATATAAAGGAAGCTTGAACATTTAGTTAGATTGCAATTACTCTCAATGCGATCGGCAGTTTGAACTCTTTGCTGCATACTGGACATTTAAAACTTCGATCCGAATGATGGTAACGTATATGTGCCGCCAGTGAATGTCTAGAGTATTTAATGGCATTGCATTTAGTACACGGGTATTCCCTACCTAACGGCTCTTCGCTGTGAGCTATGATATGTTTCTTTAGTGTATACGCGTTTTTCAGCCACTTTTGGCATATATGGCATTGAGCTCTGGTACGTGGTTCAGCGCTATGAATAGAGTCTACATGACGCAAAAGATTGTGAGCAGCTTTAAAGCATTTTCCACAAATCTCGCAAACAGATTCATATTCATTCAGGTGAATGTTCCTTTCATGTTTCTTCAAAACTCCAGCACTGACGAATCTTTACATTATAATAAAAAATATTAGAAACAAATTATATCAACAATATAATTTTTTGTAGACAATACCCTTTGTTGCATATTTTACATATGAAATCACGTGTAGTCGTATGTTTAGAACGCATATGATAATCCAGAAGATATTGTTTAACGAATTTTCTAGGGCACAATTTGCAAAAAAATTGTAAGTCTTCAGTATCAGGATGTTTTGAATCCATATGATTTTGATAAGTATTCCGGCTTGCCAACTTCTTATTGCATATATGGCACCTACAACAGCATACATATTAGTAAATTAAAAATATCAGTCACTTTTATAAATAAAGTGAATACTCACTTCAAAAAGTCTGGATCCCTATGCATTTTTAGATGGTCTACCCAAAGAGATCGTTTCAAAAAACGACTATTGCAACAAGTCATATATCCTTCACATTTATGTTGGTCACGGAAATGTTTTCTTAACTGAAGGAAATCTGTAAGTTGTTGCTTGCACAAACAACAACTCAATTCCGAATTTTGTGCTATATACTCATCCATCTCAGCAATCAAAGCCAATTTGGCCATACGTCGTCTTGTGGCTTCTTCATCAATCGCAGGATCTTTTGACAAATTATCATCGCTTTTTGATTTTAACGACTTTTTCTTGTATTCGCGCTTAGGTCTGTTGTCAAGATCGTTTATCTTCTTTTTCGTCTTAACAACTTAATATAGAGATATTAAAATAAAATAATTAGAAATACAATAATAACAACTCACAATTATAAGTCTGTTTCGTCTTTACTGCGGGTAAACATCCTTGATCGAATAATAAGTCGTTATCTGTGCCTCCATCATCGAATACGGCTCCATCTTCGCAATCGTTATCCAAATCAGCAGCATCGAATTCAACTTCATTATCGCAAACGGCTGGTTGTAAAACAACCAAATCTATTTGCGGTTCTCTCAACCCGATTTCCTTACAGTCAATAGAAGAGTTAATATGGACCGAGGGAAATTCTTCTGTCTCAATATCTTCTATAGGATGTTTCGTTTCTATGCATTCTAAATGGGTTTGCAAAGTCTTCTGTTTTTCATCAATATTTACCCAAAACTTATGGAAGTCGTCAATATGCTTCCAACACTCGCAACAAATTTCATTAGAAATTGTTTCGTGGTACTGAATCTTAAATTAATTGTTATCAATTATTTACAAACATAAACATATGACATATGCACATATGAGTTTAAAATACAAATAAACGAAAATATGATTTACCTCAATACAAAAATATCTTTTTATCACTTTTGCGACATCACTTTCACCATTACCAGACCATAGTTCTATACCGTTAGTTATTCCCAATAAACATAAACGACAAATCATTTTTCTAAACAAATAAGTAAACAGACACCAAAAGATGTATTCTTATTGGTTATAAGGAAGACGATAATTTCCACTTATTCCACTTATCGACTAACCGATATACATGTATTCCGTTTGCAGCATATCGAATTTCAACGAGATATTATTAATGCCACAAAAAAGACCAGTCAAAATAAAAGATATATAGTGTTTTTATAATACATAGAAAAGGAGCAAGTTTTCAACTTATAATAAATTTTAATGTTAACATAAAATATTTCATTCCACTTTATATAAATTAATGAATCGATAAATATTTACTCGATTAAATGTACGTAATCATGTATTATTGCTGTTATCAAGACTATTATAGGTAAACAAAACGTTGCAAATTGTCCGGCTAATATATAAAAGAATAAATGCAAGCACAACGTATTATTATAATACACCCAGGATCGCTCTATGTTAGAATAGGAAAAGCCTCTGATCTTAATCCTATTACTCTTTTACATGCAGTAGCGTACCGACAGCGTGAATCTACATCTGCTCAAGAACATAAAGATGAGTTACTGCCACACGTGCAAGGCTCAGCCGAAACTCTCACAGAATTTGAGGAACAAAGACTACAAGTTTCCCATTCCATACAATCATATGCACCACATCAAGAAACTTACGAACGCAGTGCCAAACGGCTGCGAGTTGCTACGCCACCGCAACAAATTGCTACTTTCAACAGGCGAAGTGTTCCTGAGGCCCTTCCTATAATAGACGACAACAACTGCAACGGAAAAAGTGAAAATGCAATTGGACGTGAAAGGCTATTTGACAAAGATATTTTAGCGTTAAACGAAAAAGAAGCAATTGCTTATAATGTCCATTTTCCAATAAGACGCGGTGAACTAAATTTGCATAAAGGTGTTGGTGGTTCTATGGCAGCAGTCATATCTAGCATGGAAATAATTTGGTTGTATGCATTAAAAAATCATTTAAATATTATGGCAGATGCATTACCCCATTATAGTGCTGTTTTGGTTGTATCGGACGTCTATAATCGTAGTCATCTACGAGAATTGACAACATTATTATTACAACGTTTGAGATTTCGTTCATGTTTTTTATTACAAGATCATGTTGCGTCTACTTTTGGGGCTGGACTAAGTTATGCCTGCGTTGTTGATATTGGGGATCAAAAATGTTCAATATCTTGTGTGGAGGATGGTATTAGTCATCCCGAAACTCGTGTACGACTTTCTTATGGTGGAGGCGATGTGACACAAGTGTTTTTAAACCTTCTACTCAAGTGCAGCTTTCCTTACAGAGAATGTGATGTAAAAAAAGGTTATGCAGATGCAGCATTAATAATGCATTTAAAAGAACGTTTTTGTCATCTTACTTTAGATGTTTGTGGAGCGCAAGAACGTTGTTTTGAGGTAATGGAAAAGTCATATAATAATTCTTCTTAATATCAATTCTGTTAAATTTGTAGGTAAAGAAAGAAAATAAACGCCTACGATACACTCTTCAAATAGGTGACGAATGTGTTGTAGCGCCACTATGCCTTTTTCATACAGAACTACTTAATATTACTGGCAAAACGAAGCAAGCAAAAGTTCAACTGCGAAGTAGTCAACAACCGGATTCGGAAGACTGCTTTGATGCCGAATACATAAGGGAAACAGGACGTCGAAATGGAGTACGAGATCAATTACTTGAAGGGGCGATACCAGTAACAGGCGAAGTGACTGAAGATGATTTAGTGGTAGACGATGTGGTTGATCGCGACGCCAATAGTAAAACTAGTGATAAAGATGAACTTTTATATGTTGTAAACGGGCAGATTATGCCAATTGACCAAGCTATAGTTCGTAGTATTGAACGTTGTTCAACGGAAGAGATTAAGCGCAAAATGTATAGCTGTATATTGCTTGTGGGAGGCAGTACGAAATTTCCAGGTTTCTCAAAATGGTTGGAACAACGTGTTATGCTTCAATTAGCGGCCACGTCAACGTCATACTCTGCATTTGAAGTAAATGCATTCGCCAAAGAAATGGACGCTGGTATGATAGCTTGGAAGGGTGCGGCTATAATGTCATGTTTGGAGAGTGCACCGGAGCTATGGATATATTGTAGTGAATGGGAGAAATATGGTTTGCGAATATTACGTGAAAAAGCACCCTTTATTTGGTAATTGGTATTAATTTTTGCCCAATGAGGATTAAACATCCTAAACTAAAAAATTAACAAGTGACTCAGTTGGAAAAATCCACTGTTTGTAGTAATGTAAAAAACGTACAAATAAAATACGAAGACATTTATACACTTTAAAATTATTATTATTATTTACAAATTTAGTAGTAATGCAGTACAACAAAAAATATCAGTTTAATAAATGGCGGTACGTTACAAATTCATTTAAGATCCTTGGGAGTGCTAGAACCCATATAGTGATATAAGTCTTGCAGCGTCGATTGAACTAATTTCGCCTTTATAGTATCACGTTTCAATCGCTTGTAGGCTTCGTACCGATGACAGCCACCAAAGCTGTAAAAATAATCACCACCCTCAGAACCCTTAATCCAAAGCACATCTATTGGTGGAACATCGTCTTCTGTGACTTCATTCTATTTATAAAAAACATAAGAAAGTATATAAATCATATTATAAAGATTTAAGTTATATTTCAGCATACCTTTATAGTATTCATAAGAGATTGCACCTTTTCTTCGTCCAATACCGGAGGAATTGGTCTATGTATGACACTCATAGGTACCATATGCACTTCTGTTATTGCTGCGGAATGTACACTTTTACTGCTCATGTTGCACGATATTTTTTCACCAAATCTTCCTACAATGAAATTATTCAATGCAGTTTTATAAAGAACTTTAGGTAACTGAAATGAGTTGTGAAATTGCAAATAGTAACTCTATTACTGTATACTCTTAGTATACTTTTTAATATATTAAATACAAATAATAGTAGATATTTTTACCTTGTTTATGAAACGTTTTAATTCTGACCAGAGAGTTTTTACGTGTAATCATACGTAAAGCTATGATACTAATGAATGACATTGTACGAAGTTGTGCATAAACGTTACCATAAATAATTTACTACTACTTAGCACATGAGTTGGTAAATAATACAACAATTACATACATATGTATGTTCGATGAAAACAAATAAAATTTTTTATGAAACTGTGTACTGCATTGCATTTAAGTACATGATTTCGGGGGGCAAATTGCTGTATAATTTTGAAAATACATACACATGGTATGTACATGATTTTGCTGGTGAAACTGATGGCGATTTTTTGCTTTAAATACCATTAATCGTAAAGAACAAAGAAATTTAAATTTAGAATCGGAGATAAAATGCAAGAAAATAAAAAAACCTTTAAGATTATAAACAGGAGTTAACAAACAGTTTAAAGTGCAAATTATTAAGTGATTATAAACATACCCCCAACGGTTTTATGAATGTTGTATTAATTTAATGGAACGAACAAATTTGGTATTCTTAAATAATCAATTTAATTGTCATAATTTTGAATATTATGGGAATAGAGTTTTAATTTTCCTTTTAATGCCGATATTCTGGTAATTCTATTTTCAAATAGTTTGCAGAAGTATTGCAATGTTTTTTAATAGAATGCGATTAAATCAAGGATTAAAACAACGATATTTATGCCTCATCCGCTGCTGATTGGAAATGGGATATTTCATTGGGGGGAAATTTTTGATCGTCTTAAATAGAATAATACTCTGGCCTAATATGTTTTTTCTGCGCATACTTTACATATACATATATACAAAGAATTATTTTATATTTTATAACTTTACCATACAGTTGACATTTATATTTAATTGCAAATTTATAAAAAAAAACTGCCTAAATTTTAAGCGTTGGCAACCATGTTTATGAGTTGTCAAACAAAGTAAAGAAAAGAAGATTATACGAATGGTGGTTGATACGAGAATAGTAGAAAAATTATCGGAAAATAATTAAAAAGAGATACATTTGTGAAAATAGGAGTATATAATTGTATATATTTCATTTTTAATTACTGTGGAAGCTAAAGATGAGTGTTTTACCATATCAACCAACAAGCGATGAGGATATATTTCGCCTATGCACAAAAGAATGCGGGATCATCACAGCCACAGAGGATCAGCAATACTTTGCATTAGGCTGTATGTTTTGTCCGACCAAATTTCTGTATTTCGACGCTTTTATTGGACATATGCAAACAGATCATGGACCACAAACAATGGGCCAAAAGGGACTGTTTGGTGATATGCTGGGGTAAGACAATTACAACGACTTTTGTAGCCAATAGAATCAATATAAATTCACGTAATGTTAGACATGATTTTAGTAGGTCTACAGCGTATAAAAAATTTTTTAGGTATTTTCTTACATTGAATTGTTAGATGAAAACACTTTTTGAATGTAAAAGAAAACTGTAATGTCACATTGCCAAATAATGTTTAATTGTACTATTATATTTTAAACAGACTCGGTTATAATGGCTCCTATAGTGAAAATGATAGCGGTCATAGTGGCGTCGCCACAGAAGATCTTACCGACACCGATCCCTCGCTTTTAGTACCGCAAACAGTTATGATTAAAGAGGAAGTAGGAGATGTTAGTATAATAAATATTCTTAAGTACTTATAAAGATATTAATTTTTTTGAAATCTTCACAGGACGCATTAGAACCACCAAAACATGATGACTCCATAATAACAGGATTATCAACAGAAAATGAATTAGCGGACACTGTGAAGTCTATGTACCCAGTTAAACAAGAGCATTCAGAGCCGGAAGTTGCAATGGAAGGAGACGGTGAGAGCTATATGCCTGATAACTACGGAAATTATGAAGATTTCACTAATAATGGTGATGAAGATGATCACAACTATCAAGAAGATGATGAGAATAATTATGATGACTTAGTTGAACAATCTTTATTGGGGGGAAACCATGAAATGGTATATTGTATCATAATGCGTATATTTAATATTCTAAAGATTTTTGTATTATAGGAATCAGGTTTAACTATGCATATAAAAGACCGCAAAATGATTCAATTTCTTATCGACTCTTATCGGCGCAACACATTTCTTTGGGATCATCGACACCCACAATTTCGTGATCGTTCTAAGAGACAGCACTTTCTCGATTGGATTGTAATGGAATTTAAGCGGCGGTTTAACTTATCTTTGGCAAAGGATGCAGTTACCCGAAAGTGGGACAATTTAAGAACTGTATATAAAAGGGAATGCAATCGAATGTCTTTGGAAAATACCAACATCAGTACACTCTGGTATTTTAAGGATTTACATTTTCTTAATCGGTTTTATGGTGGAAATCAAAAGATGACTGAGGCTGTCGTGAAGGTATTTTATACCTATTTAAAAATAACCAATATTGAAATATTAGACAAAAGTTTGGGTTTTGATATTCTGACATCAGAAGAATGCCAATTAATTTTCCCCTGGATATGATATATTAAGTATGCTAAGAAGTTTTTAACATTCAGAAGGAAACGCCGCGATCCAATAAAAGAAAATATATAAATATATATATGTTTCTTAGCCATGTCTATTGATATTGTTGTAGAGGCAGAATTATGCCGAGTTGACAGTCCTTGGCCGGATAAAATAAATACGGGTCCGTTCCAGTTACGTAGACCTGACTGCCGTGAGAACGGTAGCCATGTCTGTCTGTCTGTACATACGCAAACTAGTCGCTTTCGCTCGCAAATTTTATATACGTCCTTTTCTCTCCAACAAGCTGCTCATAGCATATACTGTCATGCAAACTGAAGGATCAGAACCAAGGTCATATATGAAAACTGTTTTTTTTTTAAGGATAAGAAAATAAGAAATTCTCACCATAAATTTTGTAACTACAATAACTCTATTAAATAACATTTCAGGAAACAGTATACCGACGTCGGTCCTCTGCACTTTGGAATGATGTCTCTACAATGAAACTTTTATCAATGGTCGAACAATATCCATGTTTTTATAATAAGTACAACATAGACTACCGTAGCAAAGAAAAACGGGGAGAAGCACTACAGCAAATGGCGGCAGAACTGCAAAAGATGATTGAGGTCAGCACCATACAAATATCGAAGCGTATTTCTCAATTGCGTTTTGATTACTCCAAACAAAAACAAGAACGTTTGCTATGCGAGCAAAACAATAAAGTGTTTATGCCAACTTACAGTTACTACGATCAAATGCAGTTTATGGATGCAGATATTGCACCATTTAAATGTGAATTATGTCCTGTTATTGTGCAATCACCACGAGAACTAGATACACATCTCAGTACGCATCAGCCTGAGGGTACTTACGCATGTAATATCTGTCCTGTTAGCTTTTTAGACGTTGATCAGTTGAACCAGCATAAGCAAATACACACACCCACAAGTAAGGAGGTAAAATACTGGTGCGACTTATGCACAGCTAGTTTTCGAACTAAGGAAGTGTACGATGAACATATGCGTAGACATAACGATGAACTCTTACTACCTTCATTAGCCAATATCCCACATACAGGCAGTGACATGGGTATGGCGGAAAATGAAAATCCTCTATTGCACATGGATAATTCAGAGTACGATGATGGCTATTCGTGTGACATATGTGGCAAATCTTTTACCAATATGGTGTATCTCAATGCGCATCGTGCACAGCATACCAGTCCCAGTGAGCGTCCATTCCGCTGTGATTACTCTCATTGCGGTCGTTTATTTCCCACGCGCCAATCTATGCTAGAACATGCAAGGCAGCACTATAACGATGAAGAATTTAAATGCGACATATGTGGCAAAACCTTCAAATCACTTAAAAATCTGCAGAATCACAAGCAAATACACGACGCTATCAAACGATATGTGTGTAAGATTTGTGGCTCAGCGTTTGCGCAAGCAGCCGGCTTATATTTGCACAAGCGCCGACATAATCGGCCAAACTCACGCATACGTCAAGGTTACTGATCCACTTATATAAACCTATAAAAGGTATTGCAGGCAGCACTTCAATATAGCATAGGTTAAGCATATAGAAAAACAACTACAGTAATATTAACAGTAATTTTACTATCCGCGATATACTTATAGTAATAACTGCATAAAATAAACAATTTTAGATTTTCAAGTAATTACACTTGTGTTAATGCAATATAAAGGTCTAAATGAGCTAGAAGTCATTACGTTTTTAAGACTAATTTTTAATTTTAACAAATTTTATTTTTTATTTGTTACACAGTTACAATAAAAGAGATTTTTTATAACTAGTACTGCATATACGTATCTAAAATTATTTATGCGTACGCTGAAAGAATTCACAAGTATTAATACACAAATTTATATTAATTTATTTGAATGGGCACACATAAAGGTGCAAGAAAATTATTTTTCATTAATTACTCTAGATTGGTTATAACATAGGAATGTACTTAGAAATTGTATAATGTAAAATTTAACCTTAAGAAGAATTAAACATAATTAATATTAAAAATAATCATATATCAATCGAATTTATGCTTTTGGTTTACTTGGTGTTGGTATAGATAAAATTTTTACCTTTAGTTTAATAATACACTAACTAATGCGAGAAACTTAACCCTTACCATCCTAACGGGAATTAGATAACCGTTAAAACAACCACAGAAACTTCACTGTTTTATGATTGTTAAAGTAGTATGTTTCGATGGACCGAAGCAAAAAATTTATAATATTTATTTTAACAAAGTTACAAATTCCAATTTCAAGGTTAATTAAACTCTTCTCAAAGTTGTCTATTATTTTTAAGTCATTTATATTTTATGGATACAAGCATATTTATGAATATGCCTTAGTCTGTTACGGGTCTCAGCAATAATTTTAAATATTTCAATATAAAAACAACGTACATATATTTGTTTCAATTGAAAGCCATTGTGGTATGTGGGTTTGAAGATGCTGCATATGTCAGAGACATGAAAAAATTAAAATTTTAATTTTCAAATAAAAAGTAAAACACAGCATCATTAAAGAACGTTTCGACTTGAC